AAATACTTCAATTTGCTAGAAAGCTTGAACTCGTAGCTAATCAGGCTAAAAACCAAGGCCCACTTTCCTCTCCTTCAACGAAAAATAGGCACCAATATATCCCATAGAAAGAAGTAGCTATCTATATGCTTTTCAGACACCATCGATAACCCAGTTAGGGTAATCTGGCGGTTAGTGATATGCTATTCAATCAGGACATTTCCACGTGGGTCCTCCTTCTATAGAAAGTAAAAAATCGAGAAATATTGACTTTTGATATTGATCCGATGTTATTTCAATGCCACATTTCTTTCCAATGTCGACCCAACTTTTTTAATCAAAACAAAAAAAAAAGACTTCTTTCAAAGAAAACACTCAACAAACCTCCTCTTCAGTACTCGTCTTCTGCTACCATCAAATGGCAAGCATCTTGTACAAAATTCTCCATTCATCAGCCGTGGATTTTTGTTATCCAAAAATACCAAGTTCTTTTGCTTTCGGAGAGTTTCCAACTAAAACAAATCAAACAAAAAATTCTATCCCAAACACCACTATCATGGTCCATAAAGCAACTGCACGAAGCATTAACTTTCCCTATGAATGTGCCAAATGAATACAAAATTGGCAAAAGGATCAGACTGATAATTGAAAAGGAACATACAGCCACTCCGATGATTTCAAGAAATTCCTTCTACCCTTTTTTATCACATCCAGTGAGTTCGAAACCGCGATTCTCTATCAGTATTGACATATGCCCTGTAAGAACTTTAAAAAAAAAACCCATACTCGACGATAAACGACATTTCTTCGTTCCAGACAATCTTCTTCCATGCAAAGAGCTTTTGCATCAAGGCAACCCAGGCGTACCCGTTCGCGGTAATAGAAATAAGCTGGTGAATTCCTGGAAACGTAACGGATTAAAAAACACCACAGATTATGCACTTTTTACTGAGTACAAAGCCTCGAACAGTGAAATTCCCTTTTTTTTTCTATGAGATGATCACAGTCGAAACTCCAAAACAATAGATCAACTGCCTAAAACATCGCTTACAGAAGGAGAAAACCCAAGATATTTTTCAGTTCGCGAATTGTGAAAATTTCGAATGGCGTGCCTACAGGCATTTTTCTTGCTCATTTTGGGATGAATTTTGTCGAAGCTATTGGTAATCTTACACCAATTAATCTTCTTTAAAAATACGTAAATTAACGCATAAATCTTGCATTGCATTCTTATTTTTTCAGCCAAATACATAAAATGTACATGTGCCTTGAGGGCAAATGACTGGCTGAATAAAACAAGCGCGGACAGATTTCCCGCTCAGCCAATTCCACCCGTCGCCTGGCCATGAACTCTATATAAGCCATTTCCACTACTGGAAATTATTATTGTTGTTTTTGTATTCTTTCGTCTAATCGCTCTTCAATGTAAATAACTCGTCTCGATGCTACTGCACAGTTCCCCCTCCTCCCCTCCCCCTCCCCTGCCCTCCTCCTCCACCCCGTCAACAATCAATACAGCGGCCGTCCATCACGTCCACCCCAAAATAGCCGAGTAAAAACTCAGCCGATATTTGTCCCAAATTCAAAAATCTCGAACAATCTTCGTCCCAATCCTCTTCCCACTCATTCAAATCAGTCATTTCTCGTCACAGTATAAATAAAATAACATTCGTAAACCTGAAGTTCTGTGCCGAAGATGCTGCGCTCGAGGTGGAGGGCATTTGCTCATCCTCATCACTGCTTGAATCGGTTGCGTCTGGGTCCACCACATATTTCTTCAGTCGATCCTCTGTGCGTTTTGTTATTTTGCGTGTGCTTAACGAAAATAACACTCACTCAAAAAATTCTTCAAATTTCCAGCAATATAAAATCATTTAAATCAAAAATTCAAGAAATGTATAATCAAAAAATCAAAAAATTTAGAAATTTGTACATCTCGCAGTGCAAATTTGGAATGCTTACATGGCTTCATCCTTTTTTCCTGGTGCTTTTCCTTCAAAAACATGATCAACTATTCGTTTTGGTAGCAATTCGTTAATCGGAATGCGATCTCTGAAGCTCTGTAGTAAATTTGCCAACTGATTGAGATGGGCGCGTTCAAGCTGAAAAAAAATCTCGCATTCAGAATCATTTCAAGTCGCGCCTCATAAAAACTTAGAAAAATCGTGGAAGAATTTCAAAATTTTAGCAAAATTACTATACACTTACATGTGGTACACTAAGTGCTAGACCACTGTTATCACGCAAACGTCCAATTTTCTCTTGCAATACTTTTCTGCTCATACCCTCTTTGTTGTCCGGAAGTGTCCTGGAAATAAAAAAGCAGTAACAACGATGAGGAAACAGAACATATATCACCAAAGCAATGAATCTATATCTATACGATAAACATTTTAGCAAAACAGAACATTTTATCCATACAACATATCTTAGCAAAATATCAAAATTTAGCAAAATTCATTGGGAAAAAACCAACATAAACTGGCCAGTCAATCTAGAAATACTTCATATCCCTCGTCCCCTTCCCCTCTTCCTCTCCTCCGCTTCCCATCTCGCGCAAATGTGCCGAAAACAAGTTTTCTCCCAAACTTATCTACACAACATGTTGCGCAAATCTATCCCAGACAGCAACGTAGTTGCCTCCTACGTCCCAAAATTTCGAGGCGAGATGGTTACGTGCAGCAAATTAAGTTCACCAAGAAATAACTAAGGCTTCGCCAAGTGATTCGGTCAGGGGGAAATTCAGGTGATGAAACGACTGCCAGGATCTTTAACAGGCTCGCTACTGCAGGTTATTCAGCACTAGTTAAAGCAACTGGAAAAGCTGTCAGCTGCACAGCCGGCAAAACATACTATGCTCCAGAACAAAATTGCAGAATTGAATTGCTGGACTTAAGTATCATATGTAAGAAGACATTTTACGATACAGTCTGTGTTTCATCCCTTAGCTGTAAACACAAACCGAACTATGCGTGCCAGTAGGAGCGGAATTCACGACAAACACAAAAAAAAAGCTTGAAAACAAAGCTTACACGAAAGCATATCCAACATCTTGCAACACGCACATCAAAGATTATGAAATCAGTTACTTTTGAGTAGCAGACTTTTTGGGTTGAGTTCGCTGCTTTGTGTTTTGTTTGCTCGATGTGCCTATCCCTGGATCTTGCGTTGGTGTTGCTATCACTGGGGCTGGTTTTCGGAATAGATCAAGCGCTCTGTTCAACGTTTTTTCATTGGGAATTCGCAACTGATCGTCCCCAGGCACTGCTGCTGCCTCCGTACAACGGGAGAGCTTATTATTTGTGACCAGAGTCGAATTTTCCTGTAAGAAAAGTATTTGAAAAAAAAAAAAACCAAAAATTAAGATTGCAGTTACTAGCTTCGTACAGAATTTGCTCCAAAACTCCAAAACTGACTATTCCTAGACAATTTTCGAGTCCAACTCGTGTCCGAGAAGGCCGTACTGAGGTCATCAAGACCGAACAATCTTTGTGGAGGTCCGATTTTAGGGATGTTACAGAGATGCGCCCATGCGTCGTGAACAACTAATTGTTAGAT